ACTGCATCATCATAGAACTTGGTGACTTTGTCAACCATGCTGTCCCAATGCAGCATGGGGTCGGCCCAGCGAACAATCAGGTCAGTGATCTTGTCAATATGATCCCGGTAAATTGATCTGTAGATGAGGTATGCCTTGGGTAGCAGTTTGGGCAGCGATGGTTGCGGGTCCTGGTCCCCCATCTGGGGTTCTTGCGAACCAACAGCCTCCACACCTTCAAAATCTAGGAGTTGAAGTCTGTTCTGATGTTGTTGAATCAGGACATCCGTCAAAACATCGCATTCCTCAAAGATGCGCCACTGCAGGTCATCCTCCAAAGGTGTTTTCTGCAAGTAGTACTGAAACAGCTGTGACAACTGAGTCCTGCGCTCGTCAGGCAGATCCAGGAACACTCCATCAAGACCGTCATTGTTTGAAGTCTCCTGTGCACCTTGGGCACCCCGAGACGCTGTGAGCTTTGCAATCTCGTCAACAAAATCATCCTTTGTCACGCGCTTGTTGCCTTCGTGCAGCGGGTTGCCTTCCGCATCCTGGCCGCGGAAACGTCGATCTGCCCTTTGCAAGGTGAAGTGCAAGTCCTCCATTGTGTAGTCACTTCCCAAGGCTAGGTTCTGCTTGTCCAGACCAAGGCGGTTAATCAGATTGTCTAGCGTCATGTTGAGGACCAGATCCAGCTGGCTTTCGATGACTTGCACGATCCCCTTTGAAATTGTCAAGAATTGCTGCCACATACTTGCCACCAGGCCGAAGCCTGCAGCCCCGACAACTAAAGGCTGCAGGGCCGTCATAGGGTCCAATAGAGCACCAATCAGAAAGAGCAGCATCATGGTAAACAGCAGCATAAAAGCCAAAGCCGCACCGCAGAAAGACACTGCTGACAGCACAGTGTCTGCTAGAATCACAAGTCTGTTCGACCAGCCGCTGAGCGCATTAGCAACAACCAGGCACATAACGACCACAAGAGCAAACACAGAAGCGAGCACTCCAAAGCTCGAGCTTAACGAGCCCACGTTCTGTTCAAGCAATGTAGAGCTCTCCAGCGGGTCTGATGCTGCAGCTTGCGTGCTGAAGAAAGCGTAAACTTTCAAGAGCAGGGCCGCCAGCATGGGCAACAGCAGGAAGCTAGCAGCTTGCCACACGTGCAATGCTAAGGTGCCAAATGCCTCAGCCAGGGTGAGGAGAGCTGTGGCGACAGGAAGACGGCTGCCTTCAACGGCCATGCCGGCCATGCCCAGCTGCTCACCGAGGACCTCTGTTGGGCGCCAAGCCATTCTGGATTTCCGCAAGCGAAGGCCATCCACTGCAGTCACACTGTTGGAGCGGACTCGGCATCGAGCAACTTCCTCCCCATGAGAATTGAGCATGCTGTGCGAAATGCCAGTGAGTATCAATCCGCCAGCACATCTCAAAATGTCCGATTGCATGTCCTCAAATGGAAGCGGGCGGCGCAAATCACTGCAGCCGCGTACACTCACTTGTCTTGTCGCGATGCCGCAGCTTGCCAACATCAAAGGATTCATTCCTGCCATCTCAATATGGTTCATGCGACAAAAGGCCGCATACGCTTGCTCGAGTTCGCCTAAGTGCAAAGTCTCAATGGCCACAAACCAATTTGAAGTGCAAAGGACGTCGTCCTTTTTGGGCTGCATCGGCTCCCCATTCTGTGGGCCCACAACCTTTTCCATGAGAATTCGGCAGCACACTGCGGAGCTCTGGCTGAAGTCAGCATCCACGACCCAGGGGAAAGTCTCAGACACAAATCGCAGGTCACGGGCAACCAGCTGCAAGCTTGAGGTATCCGCCTGCTCGAGCCAAAAGTTGCACATCCACTGCTCCACATCGTCTTCTTTGGGGCGGTCAGACGTCCAGTTGACAAATCGGTCTACGCCCTGCAGATAAATATCACCTGGCACATCATCTTGGAACCAATTATCCTTGGAGGCTTGGGATGTCAAAGCCATGGCATCCAAGATCTCACTCTTGAAGGCAGGTCGCATGCACAATGCTCCGATGAAGTCCCCATCTGCGTCAATGAGATCGACCTGCTTCGAGAAGCCAAATTGATGGGTATCTGCATATGCGTCTAGCAGCTCATTCCAATCAACATGACCAGATGCAATGAGACTATCCTGTACTGAGAGTACGCGGACGCGAAGCACGGCTCCAAAGCGCAAGCCATCTCGGAATGGGGGTGTGAGCTGCCACGGCCCCGATTCGGGCAGAATGTCAATGCCGAAATAGTCATTGCCATTCCATCCTTTGGCTGAGGACGACTTGTTGAGCTCCTCTGTCCGAATGAGGCGGGTAGAGAAGTGTGACTCCTCTTTGCCCTGAGCAGTTGCCATGCGTGCTGTCTCCTTTTGCTCTCCGAGGAAAAGCTCAAGAAACAGCGGTTCTGAAAAGTCCTCCTTGTCGCCTGCAAGGTGCAGCGAGTCCAGAACCAGGGTCAAGCCTGGCGGGGTAAACCTTGAACACATTGTTCGAAGAAATGCAGGCAAGCTGGCATGAGCTTGGCTAGGCCCACGCAGAATACTTAGCACGTCCCAGGGTATGTGCGCCACGCCCCTCAATGGATGCACACGAACTGGCACCGACCACGATGTGCGGCACAGAGATTTTGCAGCCGACATCGCGGAGACTTGCAAAACAACATCCTCCAACACATGTTCCAGACCTGCCTGGGCCAGAGTCAAGAAGTATTGGCATTTGCTTGGCCCAAGCTGCATCAAATCTGAAGCCGGCACATCAATCGCAACTCGTCTCGTCGAGCCTGTGCAAACGCAGCTGATCCTAAAGAAGGTTGCTTGAAATGCCTCAGCTGGGCGTTGCCAGGACAAGTTGATCCCGCGCTCCGGATAATGAAGGAAGTCTGCCTTGATGTCCAACTCATCTACCGGTCCGGAGTTCTGCAAACGCTGTGAAGCATGAATCTCTGCAGTACGCTCAGCCACCTTCTTTGAAATGAAAGGCAAAACCCAACCGCGTATGCCTTTCAGCGCCACAGCTGCCAAAATGGATGCGCAGATCACGTTGAATGCAAGCGCAACCAGCAGATACAGTGGCAGACTAGGTTGAAACCAGTTCACAGTCATGCCTTTCTTCGATCTTTGGAAAACCAGGCCATTTCGGCAACCTGCGGGCTGATTGAAATAGATAGGCCCGCCATACTGTCCAAGCGTTTCCTGAAGCTTTCTCGCAACCACAGCTGCTGCCTTCCAGTGCGGGCAGTGATCATCCACATGGTTTGCCTGCAGTACCAAGGTATCTGAACTGTTGACTTCCGAGACGTGTAATAGGATCGGCTATATCCCCTTCCAGCTGCAGCATTTCCCACAGAGCTCGAGGCGCTAAGCCACCAAAAGCGAAGACAGTGAACCAAGCCGGTGCAACATAGATATAAGCTGGAGCGCTGGCCAAGGTCCATGTCTTGTCTGTGCCAGCAACTCGGATGGTCGCTATCCAAGGCTTTCTGCTGGCATCCTTGATGAACTCACGCACTTTGGTCATTGACTCACTGTCTGATGAGGTCAGGGCAACCTGGTGTTTCCAGCGGCACTCTTGGCACTTTTTGCATGGACTGCGAACATGAAGCCCTGCGTCAGCCTCAGAGCTGAAGGAAAGGCTCTCGTCAGCATGGCAAGACAAGACTCGTTTGTGTACGGAAGCCTCTGGCTCGGGACTTTTGAGCCGCAGTCGTCGGCTGGTGAGGTTTTGATCGGTGCTGGTGTTGCCATTGCCAGCGTTTCTTGCGGGCTCCCTGTCCTCAGCGCATAGCACCCCTCCATTGCCGTCCTCTTTCAATGCTTCTGCTTCCAGCGAGGAGTAGGTGACACTGGATCCCATCTCTACCCGAACGGCAGATGATGCTTCCACGAACACTGGGGAATTCAGGCTCTGAACCACCCATTTTCTTGCAGAACTGCCCTGCGTCCCAAGCTTTAGGTTTACGATTCCGGTGTCCTTGCTGCGGATTGTAATCACACTGTCACAACGAACACTCCCAACATTGATAACAGCAAGCGAGCCAGCTTCGACGTAGAGCGGTCCCTGAAGTCTTCCAGACTGCAGGTGCACGTTCGTGAAGACTTCTCCGGGACGTGTCTTGATGCGCAATCCCTGCAGCAGTGATGCGTCCGGGCGGTGCAGCAGAACCGGTGCAAAGACACGCGCTTCGCAGCGAAACCAAGAAGATGCAAGATCCTGCATGATTGCCTTTGCACGAATGCTGCCATCACCGGAAACTTCCACAGTGCCCATGAAAGGCCACCATTGCAGCCGTAGTCCTGCAGTTTGTTCACTGAGGCCTCTCCCAGTGTCTTCCATGATCACATGACAAGTTTCAACTTCTACCTGTATATCCGAAGCAGGAATGAATCGATGTCGGCGGAGACTGTGTACTTGCATGAAGGGCACCGTCAACAGTCCGATCGAGAGCACCGTGAAAAACAGGCTGTCCACACGAATGCACGGCATGTGAGGGACAGGGATGCCCTGAGCCTCTGGGACATTAGAACAACGCTTGGTGAGCCCACTGCTTTTCTGCCATTCCGTGTCAGCAACGGTGCCCTCGGGGAGGACAGCGTAACTGGCTTCCCCACTGTCTGAAACCATCAACTGGGACGAACGGAGCATGCTGGCAAGTTCTGCTCAGCACGTGACCTCGGATCCTACCACTGTTTGCGTGCACATCTTAGTGGAAGACACTACAGCAAACTCAAGAGCTAGATGCGAATAAGCGATGCCTTCAGAATCTGACACAAGGAAGGGATCTTGGAACACCTTGAGCCGCAGCCCGTCGCAGACAAGGTTAGCCTGAACACCGGGGCCATGCATACCTGGAGCTGCAGACCTCAATAGACAATGCCTGCATTCGCGGCACCTGCGCTGAAACATTTGTCCTGTTGGATTTCGGATGAGATCCAAGAAAGTTGGGTCTGGCCGCTTTGAGCTTGGTGAAACGGGGTGGCAGAAACCCATGACAGTTTGGAAACTGTGGCAAGCTATGTAGAAATGACCACGCAGCAGGTGGGACAAATGGCCACGGCAGCATTTCCCGTTGTGTTTCCCTTGTCAGGGCGCAAGAGGTCCTGGAACAGAGCCAGCAAGACGAGCAGTCGGATAAGCTTGCTGGCAGGTGTCCTGAGGGTCTTCGATGGTGCGCTTGGCCTTGCAGTCTTGGCAAGTCACCTCGATCTCGGGGCTTGTAAAAACTTTGCAAACATGCATATTGCTTGGTGAAGGACGAAGATGTGCTCTGGCGTGCGGCCGGCCAGCACAATCTCCGACATGAAGCCAATTCGCCTTGAGGTGGTCATGGCTTAAACTGCGACATCCACATTTTGTTGCGAGAGTGGGATCGCTAGTTGCGCTCGTCAATCGTGCATTACATGACAGACGAAGAAGAAGATGCCGGTCTGCTGCAGGATGGTTTAGTAATTTGGCTTGTTAGGAATGATTTCGTTTCACTGCGGCTACGCGGCCGGAGCTTGGTCCCCTCGACCTTTCGCACAGCATCAGCTGAAAGCATGAAACAGCTCGGCCTTGACTCCTTGACGTGAACGTTTGAACGTGTCACCAAACGGAGCCTTGGTGCCCGCGAACGTGGAAAAGATGGGAGTGCCCCTGGCCACGAGATCCTGCACGGCTCTGCCGGCAGCCTGACCCACGTGCAGCCAGGAAAGGTCCTCAGACAGAGTTGGCAAATTCAACGAAGACTACATTTTGGCCAAGCTTTTGCCAAGCTGCAGCACAGGGGTCTGATGAGTCCTCGGTGTCCTTGGAGCCGGAACAATAGCAGACGAAGCACACGAAGCACAGGGTACTTGCAGCGCTGGCAAGCGAACCTCTTGCTCTGAACGGACAGTTTTCACTTCTGGCACAAAGTGCTTGAGTGTCTTCAGGATGCTCTCCTGGCGTTGGCAAGCTGACTTCAACAAAAGATTACTCAACTTCAGGGCGCACTTGAAGCGTGACGGCACTTTGCGGGCATCCGCGGCAGGCGCCCTCTCACGGGAAGAGGACAGACTAAATACGGGCATGTGAAAGTCGTCGTCGCCTTTAGCTGAAGCACCGCCTCGCCTGTGGCGGGATCCCAAGCCTTAGGCACCGTAGACGTCGAAAAGGTTTCTCGTGCATGGCGCGCAGGATTCGCAGGTGAGCTTGGCAGCCTTCAGCTCGACATCACCCCCGTCCTCTTGGACAGATGGGCGGATGCGGTTCTGCAGAACCTGAGACAGGCAAGACAGCTCCTCTTGGACTTTATAGGGCTTCTAAAAAAACAATCTGGCCTCATGCAGTACTTGCAGTACTGAAGAGACCTGCGAAGGAGCCTGCATCTCTGCGTCAATCTTCTCTGTTGGTACATCCTGCAAAAGTGGCAGCAAACTCAGTAAACATGCCATCTGCTTTGAATCCTCAGGCAGCTGATGTAGAAGGTCTTGCACTTGCAGTGAAAGCCTGGCATCCAGAGCGGTTGAAACGAGAAGCTCTAGGGAAGGACAAAAAGCCATGCCGAGCCACTGCTGCCAGTCCGCCCCTTGCTGTCGTGTCACGGCCAGCCACGCATTGCCCTTTCAGATCCGAGCGTTTTGCAATTGTAGACTAGCTGACCAGCCAAAGCCAAACTTCGAAGCCTCGCTGACGAAGACATCGCGAACTCCAGGCAAAACGAGGAGCTCTTGCCGTGCTCGCCCTGGAACGCGCGATGAGCTCCTCGAGTCGAGGTACACAAAAACAAAGGCAATTACCGTTTCTCAACTTCTGGGCTGCCGGCGCGAACTTCCAAACGTTGGGGTTCGGGGTCTCCTCGAGAACTGGGTGACTGCATTGATTGCTTGGACAATCTTCCTAACATAGCACGTGGACACGATTCAAAGCTCACCACTTTGTCACACTCTTCCTGACTTCTTTCCTTGTATCAGAGGAATTGAAACAAAGGGGGTGAAGTCTGTGATTCCTGC